CCCCCTCCAGCGGAGGAATTATCGCAGCAGGAAACTGCCACCTTGACCTGCCTGGCGACGGGTTTCCACCCCAGCGACATCCTGGTGACGTGGACGCAACAGGACCGACCCGTCCCCACCGAAAAATTCGCCGTTTACGGACCCGGCCCGGATGTTGGAACTTCGGGGGAAAATTTCGCCGTTTACAGCAAATTGACGGTTCCGGTCGGCGAGTGGCAACGGGGCGACTCCTTCGCCTGCGTGGTCGGGCACGACGGGATCCCGCTGAATTTCATCCAGAAGAATTTGGATAAAAATTCGGGTAAACCCACCAACGTCAACATCTCGGTCGTCTTGGACGATACCGACGTCACCTGCTATTAAATTTCTCCGTTTTTGTGCATTTCAATAAAAATGTAGCCCCCCCCAAAAGAATCGAAAAAGAGCGGAAAATAGTCAGAAATTTGGAAAAAAACCGAAAAGTGACGATAAAATTTCCAAAATTACAAAAAAAGTATCGAAAAAGATCGGAAAAGATCCCAAAATATCCCCAGATTAGCAAAAAGAATCAAAAATGACCCAAAAGAATCAAAAATGACCCCAAAGAATCTAAAATGATGCAAAATAATCAAAAGTTACCCAAAATAATCTAAAATTATGGAATATAATTAAAAAATCACCCAAAATAATATAAAATTATGGAATATAATAAAAAATTACCCAAAATAATCGAAAATTACCCCAAAACATCCACAATTACCCCTAAAAAACTCTAAGTTACCCCATAATATAAAAAAATTACCCCAAAATATCCAAAATTGTCAAATAATGGCAAAAAAGGACCAAGAATATCCCAAAATATCAAATAGTATCAAGAGATTAAAAAAAATAAACAAAGTAGCCCCAAAATATCCCAAAATTGCCAAAAAAATAGCTGAAATGAGGGAAAAATCTCCAAAATTACAAAAAAAATCCCCAAAATGATGAAAAATCGGAAATCAACAAAAAAATTAACTACTATCAACCCAAAATATGCAAAAATTATCCTGAAAAAAATCAAAAAACAGCAAAAAAGACCAAAAAAAATCTTGAAATTACCCAAATAATTACCCAAAATTATGATAAAATTTCCAAAATTACAAAAAAAGTCTCGAAAAAAGATCCTAAAAGACCCCAAAATATGCCCAGATCAGCAAAATTAGCTGAAAATGACCCAAAAATATCCAGAATTACCCCCCAAAAAAAATGTTACCCCATAATATGAAAAGATTTTCCCAAAATATCTGAAATTACCAAAAAAATCTCAAAATTTACCAAAAAAATCTCAACATTTACCAAAAAAAAATCTCAATTTACAAAAAACCTCAAAATTTACCAAAAAACCCCCAAAGTAGTAGAAAATATCCAAAAATACCCCAAAATACTCAAAAATACCCCAAAATAACCACAAATACGAGAAAATCCAGAAATCGCCCCAAAATCATCCAAAATTACCTCCAAAATATAAAAAATGGCCAAAAAGGATGAAAAATACCCAGAAATCACCCAAAATCTCCACAATTACCCCAAAATCTCCTGAAATTCCCCCAAAATATCCCCAAATCACCCCAAAAGATGAAAAATACAAAAAAATGAAAAATTGCCCCAAAATGATCGAAAAATTACAAAAAAAAAATCTCAAAAATGACCCCAAAATTGCCCAAAAAATCCCCAGAATTTATAAATCCTACAGAAATTTCCCAAAAATTGCCCCAAAAATTCCAATTTGCTGAAAAATATCCCAAAATACCGAGAAAAATCCCCAAATTGCTCAAAAATGTGCAAAACCCGCAAAAAAATCCAGAAATGACCCCGAATGATCCTGAATTACCCCAAATTATTCACAACTACCCCAAAATATCCAAAATTAACCCCAAAATGTCCCAAAAGACTGAAAAATAGCCAAAAATCCCCCCAAAATCCAGAAATTACCCAAAATATCCAGAAATTACCCAAAATATCCAGAAATTACCCCAAATATCCGCAATTTCCCCAACATATCCCCAAACTACCCCAAAATACCAAAAACCACTGAAAAAATCCCAAAATTGCCCAAAAGTCCCTCTATTACCCCCCAAAAATCCACAATTCCAAAAAATTGTCAAAATTCCGAAAAAATGGCAAAATTTTCCCAAAACAGCCCAAATTTTCCCCAAAATAGTCCAAATTACCCCAAAACTGGCGCCGTAATTTGGGAACGAGGGAGACGAGCGGGGTCCTGGGGGGGGGGGGGTGGGGCCGAAATTTCAAAAATTTTCCCCAAAAAAAAATTTGGGGGGGGGGGGGGTTGGGTCAGAATTTCCAAAATTTTCCCCAAAATAAACAAATTTCCCCAAAATCAAGGAATTTTCCCCCAAATTAACGAATTTTCCCCAAAATAAAGAAATTTCCCCAAATAACCCAGATTTTCCCCAAAATAAATGATTTTCCCCCCAAATTCAACAATTTTCCCCCAAATTAGTCAGTTTTCCCCCAAATAGACCCAAATTTCCCCCAAATAAATTAATTTTTCCTCCAATAAATTCATTTTTCACCAAAATTGCCCAAAATCGGGGGTTTTCACCCCAAAATTCCATCCGGTGGCGGAAAAAAACCAAAAAATCCATTTTTTTTGGGGCGGTTGGGTGAGAAATGGGGAAATTGGGGCGTTTTGGGGAAAATTTGGGGTTTCTGGGGTGAAAATTTTCATGGTGTCGTTGGGGGAGAATTTTGCACAAAATTTGGGTCGAAAATGGGGGAAAATGGGAAAAATGGGGGAAAATTCGGAAAAAAATGGGGAAAATGGGGAAAAATGGGAATTTTCCTCCAAAAATTTGGGTTTTTTTTACTTTTTCGCCCCAAATCCTTGTTGCCCTTTTGCTTCGCGTCAAATTTTTGAAACAAAATTGGGTCAAAAATGGGGAGAAATGGGGAAAAAATGGAGAAAAATGGGGAAAACGGGTGAAAACGGGGGGAAAATGGGATTTTTGCTCAAAAAATTGGAATTTTTTGGCTTTTTCTTCCCAAATCCTCGTCTCTCTTTTTCTTTGCAGCAAATTTTTCACCAGAATTGGGTCAAAAATGGGAAAAAGGGAGAAAAATGGGGGAAAAAATGGGAAAATGGGAAAAAATGTGGAAAAATGTGATTTTTGGTGAAAAAATTGATTTTTTTTTTTTTGCTTTTTCTCCCCAAATCCTCATTCCTCTTTCTCTTTGCATCGATTTTTTTGAATGAGAATTGGGTGAAAACGAGCAAAAAAATGGGGAAAAATGGGTAAAAATGTGAAAAAATGGAAAAAATGGTGGAAATGGGAAAAAAATGTGGAAAAATGTGATTTTTGGTGAAAAAATTGATTTTTTTTTTGCTTTTTTCTCCCCAAATCCTTATTCCTCTTTCTCTTTGCGTCATTTTTTTTTTTTTT